CGGCCTCAGCATGGCCGGAGAAGCGGTGAGTTGGTGCGCACCCGGGATCCGAACCCAAGCTGCCAGTAGCGGAGCGCACGCACTTAACCGCTAAGCCATGGGGCCAGCCCTAAAATCTTCCTCTTCTAATCCCCTCTTATGTTGATCATCAAACACATTGTAATGTGAATCTTTGTAACATGCATTTGGAATACACTTAGTCTAAGGTTAACATAAATTCACATTTTGAGCTTGAAGAGCAGAAACACAATTTAAAATCATAAGCTAGTCAATGATTTGTTCTTCTGGAAAAATGGTAAGTCCGTGGTTTCACACAACACGTTCTTTTTCCAGACCATCAATTTTTGCATATTCTAAGTGCAAGTTATGAACCCATTTATTTAATACCTTTTCCCATTTCAGTGAACACATGGACGCATATCATACACATAAGGGTTTAGAAGGATATATATGAGTTTTAACAGTGGTTGTCCCTGGGGGGTAGGTTTGGGGGTTTTGTTTCCTTACTTTTGCTTTTAAATATTTTCAGAGTTTTCTCTAATAAGAAAAGATTTTAAAATTATTTTAAAACAACAGGTGGGGAGTTGTGGTTAGTACATGTAAATCTAAGAACTGTTAGAAATATTCAGAGAATTAGATGGTCCAATAGCCACACCATTCTTCTGTCTAGACTTGCCCCCATCAGCCCATTTCCATGTGGTTAGTGTAGTCTAAGATGCAAATTTGATCGTGGCAATGCCCTGCTTTGAGTCAACTCCCTCCAAAGGTACTTTCAGTGTCACTGTTCATACTTTTTATGCTGTGTAAGTCAGTCATCTTTCAGTTCCAAGTGACAGAAACCTCACTCAAAATAGCTTAAGAAAAAATGAGGGAATTTGTTTGCTCCTGTAATTGAAAAGTCCAGGGTTGTCTTTAGGCGGGGCTAGATCTAGGAGTTCAAAGATGCATTAATATCTTGTCTTTCCTGGTTCTGTTTTTTTCATGTTGGTTTTATTTTTAGACAGCCTCTGTCCATGTGGAGGCAACATAGCCATCAGCATCTCCAGGCCCCAACGGTCCTCAGAACTGGAGATCCTGAGGAAGTGGGAGGACTTGGACTGGCCTGGGTTGGGTAGTGCGCTCTTCCTTGGGGCTAGTCACCCCAGAATGGAATGAGGAGTACTACAGAAGGGGAAGGGGTGCTCCCCAAAGGAAGGGATTCTAGGCAAACCATAACCTGCTGCCTACATCCCTCTCTACACTCATCTCTCTCCTTTTTTTTTTTTTTTTGTGGTTCTGCAAAGACCTTTACTGGATGGTGCCTTCCAGAGCAGGAGGACACATGTCCACGCGGCTGTGGTCAGGCTTTGGTCCCAGCTCTACGACCTCAGTGGAATGAAGTCTGGGCAAGACTCTGATTGCATATGTTCAGCATGGCCAGCGGATGGGCTCCAGCACACTCACTTCTCCGGGGGCACGCACTTGAGCAGCCTCTCCATCAGGTCCACGTGGGCCAGCGGCATGCAAAGGCTGTGGTAGCGCTTCAGGCCCAGTGCGTCCAGGGCGTCCCCCTCGGTGCACTCGGCCTGCAGCAGCCCCAGGCAGGCCTCCCACTTGTTGCTGACAATCTTGCCACAAGTGAAGCAGCGCACAGGTATGATGATGGCGGCAGCATGGCAGCTGGCCGGTTCTGTGGGCTGTCTGACCACAGGCCATGCTCCATGATTCTCTAGACTCATCTCTTTTCTAGCTGCACCTGAACTGTTTTCAGTTCCAGGAACATGCTGGACACACTCTTGTCCCTTATTTTGTATTTCTCGCTGCATTGGCCCAAAATAACCTTCCTCTCTTCCTTACCTAGCAAACTCATCCTTCAAGATCTAGTTCATGATACTTCTACGGGATGTCTTTCCTGATCCTCCCTATCTGGGCTGGGTATTCATTGACATGATTCCATAAGCATGTCACAGATATGCTTGACATCACCCTGCACCCTGATGCAACTGTTTGCCTAAGTACTTGTCTCTCTCTCTCTCACTAAACCAGCTCCTTGAGTTCAGTGATTGCACAATGCCTGGCACATAGCAATCACCCAATAAATGCTTGTTGAATGACTAAAAGATAACCTCAGTGTCAATAAGATCTTGCCCTGCTTATTTAAGAAGTTCCTACAACAAATCTTCAATTTTTGTTCAGGAGTAAGATATAATAAAACCTTATACAACACACGTAACTTACTAAATATGTGTTAACGGAGTAGACATGAGATGTGAATGATATACTAAATTATGCTAAATTGAGTATCACTGGCCTTTGAATACGGTGTTATAGTCCTATTTGAAATATCAGTGGATCTGATTAGCTAAGTCAGAGGTTCTTAACCTGGAGTTAAGACCTTTAAGGGAGTTAAGGATAGAATTCAGAGGATATGTGAACTTAGGTGAAAAACAATTGCTTTATTTTCCATAGACTATAACTGAAATTTAGTATTTCTTTCATTATAAATGCACACAACAATCCAGAGTTGTGTTAGGCAGTAACTGTGACTTTGTCAGTAAGAGAAATCAGGTATTTTCATATCACGTTACAGTTGTTGCAGACATCTCAATATACAGTTTATGCTACTTCAGTGTCACAGCAGTTACTAAACTCCCTGCTGGGTCTGGTTATTAAATGAACACATATAGTTCTGTAGCACACATTTGCAGATCTTGATAACTTACACTTCAATATAATTGGTTTTCTTTGTAATCCCATGCATCTTATTTTCTGCACTTAAAAACATTATTCTGAGAAACAGACCATGGCACAAAAAAGTTGACGTGATCTAGGCATTCACTTAGAATGAAACAAGACCAAAGCGTGACGCTCTGACTCCAGAGAAACAGCCTGTCCTGCCTCTTTTCTAATGCCACACCAAGAAGAGAGATCACAGGCCTCTTGGACAATCCTAAAATAACAAATCTAAGAGAAGATGTCCTCACTCAGACTGAAAATTCTATCTCGATGGAAAAGCCATGCAATTTATTTAAGTTTCAAAGAGTCTCTGGGCTAGGTTGGAAAAGTTAAGTAAATGCATTTGGACCTACTCAAAACCTCACAAATAAATGCTGCAGACATTGGCTTAAGAGCTTGCCAAAGACGACAAATTCATTCCTTTGTGTAGTTATCTGCATAGATATCCACTAGAACAGGATTTTGGTTATCAAAACTCTTAGGACATGCTCCATAAGGTTGTGAGATCCTTTCTAATGAGTTTGGTGACAAGGACCTGTCAAAGAGGTAAACTCCTCATTGGAATTCTTGTTCTCTAGGAATTTCTCTTTGGTTTATTGGTCTTGGTTCCAACAGGAAACACATGGTTCTTAAATTAAGATACTTTGAGGAGATGCTATGGTGGGTGGGTGTAGAGGAGCCACAAGAGGAAGCACAGTCGCTTCAGCGACTCCAGGCTAGTATCGGGAGAGCTGACATCACCTCTGTGCCAGAAAGGAAGAGAACAGGGAGTGGCAACTCGAAGGAAAGTGGTAAAGGCAAGTTGGGAAGAAGTAGTGACCTTTTTTGTGCGTGTGCGTGAGGAAGATTGGCCCTGAGGTAACATCTGTGCCAGTCTTCCTCTATTTTGTGTGTGGGTCACCACCACAGCATGGCTTGATGAGCAGTGTGTAGGTCGGCACCCAGGATCCAAATCTGTGAACCCCAGGCCGCCGAAGTGGAGCACGCGAACTTAACCACTATGCCACAGGGCCGGACCCAGAGAAGTGGTGACCTTTGACTGCTGAGGCAGTCCCACTGGGGGAGAGCCAAGAGAACAGACACCTTGACCGTCCTCACATCTCTTGCCAGGACCCTCCTCAGCCAAATCCACCCAGAAGTCAGGAGGCAAAGGACCCACTGTTGTGGTCCATTCATCAGCCTTATGGGCAGAGAGCACAGTGGAGCTGGAGAGGTAGAGAGATCCAGCACATCTGGCAAAGCCATACCATTGCACTCATCACACTATCTGATGGTCCAAGAGGGCAGAACTGTATTTTTTTATTCATGGCTGTGCCTAGTAAAATTTTGGCACATAGTAAGTGCTCAGTATTACTGAACGATTTAACAAAGAACTGAAATATTGCTGAAACAGGGTAAAAGCAAACTACTATACACAATTAGGGAACTATTTACTTTCAGACAGAGCAGACACGTAAAATGCTATGGAATACTGGAGCATGCTTCAGCAATAAATTCTGTTCTGCAGATCAGGTAGATGTATGTCACAGCTTTATGTATAGTTAGGTACAGTCGACCCTCATTATTCATGGATTCCGTATTTGCAAATTTGCCTACTCTTTAAAACTTTTGTGGTGATTTCACAGTCATCCGCAGAGGAAAATCTGACTTGCCCAAAGCATGTTTCCAGTTGACGCGGAACAAGGTGATATGCTGCTTTCCTGTTTCATCTCTTGCACTGTAAACAGTGTCCTTTGCTCAATTTAGTGCCATTTTTTTACATTTTTGTGTTTTTTGTTGATTTCACTGTTTAAAATGCCCTCCAAATGTAGTGCAGAAGTGCTGTCTAGTGTTCCTGAAGTATTTAAGAAGGCTGTGATGTGCCTCATGGAGAACATACATGTGTTAGACAAGCTTCAGTCAGGCATTAAGTTACAGTGCTGTTGACCGTGAGTTCAGTGTTAGCAAATCAACGAAACAGAAAGACACCTAAACAAGAGTATGTATTGACTGGTTGATGAAAATGGACCACAGGCTCACAGAATAGCCCTCTATTTCCCCTAGGAGCAATGATTCAGTATTTGTTAATTCCACGTTGGTAGTGACTTTATAGAACCTAACTACCACGAATAACAACAATCAACTGTACTTGCTGTTTTCCAGTTCCTAATAAAGATTCAAAAAAGAAAACTCAATTTACAAAAGACACAAGATGATTTTTCTATAGTCAGCAGCTAATTGGTACTCACAATGTAAAACTAGAAAGAGGGGAAAACATTAAAATCCATCACCACTGCATAATTTCCATGTGATATACTGAAATTTATTACTTTCTGAACAATATGTGACTAAATTCAAATTATTTTAATTAAAGTAGTCTAGAAGGCCATATAGTTTGAAAATTAAAGAAACTAGTGGGAGGGAAAAGGAAAAACAATCTATTTAATACATTGACTTTAAAAACAATCACATATGCATTATTCTTATTATCTGGACTCAGTTGGTTAATTCAATCCTGCTTAGTTAGGCCAATTTATACCCATTCCACAATAAATCCTACATTATCCAAAAGCTTCATGCTTCTACTTACAGTAGCATAGCAAACCTGAAGTTTCTTTCTAAAAAAATCATCATTCCATTGACTAATGTAAACAATTCTCCATGCTCTGGCATAAGAATATTTAATGTTAGCCAAAAAGACAACCATCTATTCTTCTGAGGGATACAATAGTGGCAGCTTTTTGATTTTTATATTTGTTTAAAGTATACAACCTTCAATGGTAAAAGACACTGAGCTGAAATTTCTAACTCACTTTCTAACCATAGTAAGAATAACATTTCCCCCAGTGACCACCAAATATTTATAAAAATTTGTACTAACATTCTGTATGAATCCACAAACATCAATAAAAAACTGACTTTCTTGCCATGCTCCAAATGTCTTTAAGACTAGACATAGTACATATATTATAAAGAGCTTTAGGATAAATATTGAGTGCCTGGGTATTATGATAGTAGTAAAGGCTAACTCATTTTTATTTCTGAAAAACACTTTTGGTACCATTATCATACCCCAAAACAGGTATTAATGCTACTGGTGATTAAGCAGCTCAGAAGCTATAATTCTGCATGCCCTTACTGTGGAAATAAAGCAGTAGAGCTCTGAAAATGTGAGAGGACAACACCCAGGCACTTAAATCCATGAACATGTGCTAGGAGAAAACTTTTAAAATGACTGATTGCAGCCTTGATAAGAGTTGCATTAACATCAAATAGCCGCATTTCTGTCCACTTACAAGAAAACTATAAAGAAGCAACCAAGCCATGTTTAATAAAATGTGTCAGTATACAGAAATTGTATTTCTTCACAACTAGAAAAATTTCACATCTTTAGTCAAACACTTAGATGGCAAACAGCCTAAAGAAAAATAAAGACCTACACACATCACGTATTTCAACTACAAAGCAGAATGCTCTCACTATGACTGAAGGAAAATAATTTAATATTCATTATCAGTTTATAAGAGTATAACTCCAAGGAATGACTATGCTCATAAGTAAACACAAGATTTTTCCAAATGATTTGTAACTAAGGTTTGCAAGACATAAAATCAAACTGCAAAACTAGTTCAAAGCAATGAGTCCAATGGTTCTCTTACGTTTTCTTTTATGTTCTTTATTTTAAATTGATATTTGAGAACAGTAAATTATCTTTCATAGCAGTGCCTCCTGGTCTGATAAAAGAGGACCCCATTTCTGACTGTAGAGATTTAAGATAAATCAATATGAACATTAAGGCATACAAACAGCTACTTTAAGTCTGCTCTTATTTAATGAGGATCGTTTTAACTCATATTCAAATACATGGAATGTTGGCACAAAACTGAAGCTGCTGCAGAAAGATCACAGATGTTCTGTGGGTTACTGAAACTTCCATTTCTCTAAAAACATACTCTTAAATGGTCTCAATTTTACAAATTTAAGTGTTGAGAAAATGTCTAAATAATAAGTAACAATTAAAATAAAACATTTATTTGTAAATTATGTACAGAATACATTTTACTTTACGACAAGGAAATGGGAAGAAGGAAGAAGAGCCATCACCTTTCAACCAGTGCTGTCTGCTTGCTTGCTCTGTTGGAGATGACCGTGTTTCTCTGAATGAGATGTACAAATCAGTATGGATTTCCTAAGTTGGAAAAGCAGAATTTGTAGCTAAACTAAAAATGTTGCTGATTACCAGTTGGCTTGTTTCCACAAAATGCTTTTGAATCCTGCTAACTCAGAATCTTAAAATTTCCTGGTATAATTTTATAATCAACAAAAGCTTAACTATCCAGAACGAGTTTAAGAATTTCATCTTAAAGAAACTGCGAAATGGCTACATAACTACGCATAATCTGAAATGTTGGTGTTTCTTTTTTATCCCTTTTAGTTATTTTGATTAGTCTAACAGTAAAAAGCCATACAACTATCAAAAATGCCATTAATCTAAATGTCATTGTGGAAAGTACATCTTTGATAACTATCAAAATGAATGAGACCTACTTACTGTAAAATTATCAAATAGATAAAACTTATAAATGGCTTTAGACTATACCAATAGTAGTATTCTATGAAATGAAGGACTGAATATAACTGCTTGGATGTCAAACACATTTCAGCACATGAATTTAAAGAGTGCCACAAAAGTCATGTGTACATTATGATGATCAGCCAACATAGAAAATCCAACCTCTTGCACTTATTTAGTCTCCAAATTAGTCAGATTATGATTTTTCCTGTGAAGATTGAGTTGTTTCTCCATCATTGTCTTCTTCTTCTTCTTCCTCTTCCTCTTCACAATCCCCATCTGTTTGCTGTTCCAGTTCCTCTTTTGTGATCATTTCAAAATCATTCCCATTGCCACTACTGTGTTGGGATCGGTCATCTTCCCTCCTGTCACTGTCTGTGTCTGAATGCCGTTCTCCACCTGAGCCTTCCGTGCCTTGATTTCCTGGTCCTACTTTTCCCTCCTCATCTTCCTTTTTCTCACTGTCTGACTTTTCCTCACTGTCAGACTTCTGCTGCTTTTTGGTTTCAGATTTCTCATCTCTCTTTAAGTCTGCTTTTGGTCCTTTATATTCATGTGTGTACAGAGGCCTGAAGGAGTCAATGAAGCCCACGTCAGCAGTCAGATTTGGCAAGAACCAAAAGTGGTGCCTTCCTCCAGTTATGAGCCAAATGATGAGAAACAGAATGCAACGAGCTGTGGGAGAAAAATTTCTCTAATTGAATAATTCAAGCACTGATTCAGACAGCAGGGAATATTTGTTAATAAAAAACTGGGAAAACACTCAAAGTTGTATTACTTGCACTTTACATGCACCTTAAATATGAACAAAATAAATCCTGACTAGTTTAGCAGCTACCACAGTATTCTAGGCACAAAGCATTCTGCTCTGATCTTCAGGGCATAATATGCTACAATGCCACTCAAATTACTTCTACGTTTTCTTCATCTGGGTGCTGTTCCATGGATATATGCTTATGATTTATGCATTTTTCTATGTTACAGTTTAATAAACATAGACGTGAGTTGGATGTTTAAGTATGCATGAGACCACAGCATAAGAAAGGAAATAAATGCGAGTAAGGGATGAAGGATATCTTAAGCAGCCTTTAAAAAAGGAAACGTAGGGCTGCATTATGACTTCCCTAGACCCCAGGCACTTTTGTCTAAGGCAACTCCTCCATAAAACAATACTAAAAATTATACTTTTTACAACCATATTGGTATAAATACAAATATAATCCTGCATAGGTTCATTATTATATACATGTGTATATATTATTACTTCTGATTGTAAAAGAAATGAAAATGAAAACATTTCCATGAGCCCCTAAATATATCTGGGTCCAAGGCATGTGCCTACTCTGCCTAAAGGATAAATCTTCTAAGTAAAAACATTTCTGAACAGTAAGAGAACAATTTCCTAAAAGTTACAATTTCGTTAATTAAGTAATTATGTAATTTCTGCTTATTTAAGGACCAATCCTCTCCCAAAATTAGGAAACAATACAATGCTAACGAAAGACGGATTGCTTAAATAAATAGGGTTTGAGGTTACTCTCTTAGAGCAATATATGACAAAATCGTGGTTAGATAATAGAACAATTTGAGAATTTTAAAATTTACAGTAATGAGTCATCACAAACACAAACCCCAAGATTCCATGTAGTTTTCTCTTAACCTACCAATTATATAGAGCTGGGTGATTTTGTTTTTTTTTAAAGGTCATAATGATTATGTGAATGTTATGGACTAATCAATTATGACAGGTTTTTGGTTTTGTTTTATTTACAGACAATTATAGCACTCTTTTCATATAAGGCCTAAAGAAAACTCATTTATGCTTCTTCCATTATTTTGTACGGAGAAATAAAGGGAAATGGTTATAGCTGACTTGACTTTTAAGAAGCAGTAATTTCTATTTTCACAAAAGAACATAAATGTTCTGAAAGACTCTGTACACATTACTATCTTTTGTGGTACAAACAGAAAAGGCAAATATGTTTGAAATTATCATTTAAGAATAAATTCCACTGATAAAAAGAAATAATGAACATCTTTTACGGAGGATGCACATTTTTTTCTCCAAATAGGATTATTATGCTATGTCAGACTTTACAGGGCTGTTAGGACAGATAGTTCATAACATGAAATCTTGCCTCAAATCCAGGAAAAAGCAATATAGAAATGGCACAAATAAAATCTAAATTCTCAACATACATAAATTGAGTATAGCAGAATTCTAACATGTTTTAGAGTTTTTCTCTCTATGACATTAGATTACCAGGGGCAAAAGGGGAAGAATCATGAGAAAACCACTGTGACATGTACTGTCACACTATTCCTATACTAAAAGTGACTCATTTAGAAAATTGCCAAAGGTCTTATTTTAAATGGCAATATTAACCATACATATTCCAAGTCACACCAAATTTAATTTTGACCAATATATAATACTTCATAGGACAATATAAAAGAAATATCCAATTTTAAGTGGGCTACAGATCAAAATTATTTGAAAGTATATTTGGAATTGCATTTTCTAACAGAAACAAAATGCTGGGTTTGTTTTCTGGTTTAATTCACAAGACTATTTAATCCACAATGCATATTTAAAACCACAGTATATTTAAAATGAAAAATTATAGAAAACACTACTGAACAAACAATATTTTAAAGAGCAAAACAATATAGTAACCATAAATTATTGTGAATACTGGTTTAAATAAAAGATAAGCAAGTGAGTTAATTCTATTCAGTGGAGTTAAACCTTTGGTAAAATTTTTCAAAAAGCTTCTAAATTTTTAGGAATTTGAGAGCCAAAAGATACCAATTTGATTATATCTAATGTTAAATCAAAGTTTATGGCTTCTCATTCTTGATGCAGGTAGTACACCACCACTGGTTACTTGCTTCACAGTCTTAGATATTATTTCTTGGCCTACAAATGTACTGTGTTATATGCAGAAGCATCAGGGGATTTTCTCAAGGTGACTAAGCTAGAGGAAGGGAAAAATGAAAGGTAGGTGGAGAAAGCTTCACACAGAGTGAGAGATCACAGAGAAAAAAGGAGGCCATAAATATGATGAATTAAATGAAAATACTAGATGAGTTCCCAGGTCTATAAATGGTGGCACCAACTCAGGACACCATGATGTCCAGGGTGAAGGGATGTGCAGAGGGAAATTGCTTAGGGCTACCGGAGTAATGCTTTATAAACACAAGAATCTATTATATATCATAGAACCTCAGAATAACATTCCTCCAGTTCAGATAATCTTGGTCAAATTATGTCCTCTAACAACAGATATTAGGCCAATAATGTGGATTTTTTTTTCTTTTTATATAGAAATACTCCTATATGTCTTCGTGGAAAAGCTGATTTGTCATTTGGGGAAAATAATCAGAACTTAGTAACATATACCAACATAAACTCTAGATGGATCAAGGAATAAAGACAAGTTTAAAAATCACCAGACAGCTTTTGATAAGCTGAGAAAAATTCCTATTTCTTTCCCAAAGAGAAAAATTAAATTAGACTTGTTCACCTTATATGGGAAAATCTTTGAAGACTAGGATTTTAAGTAAAATAATATTTGTTGGTTTTTTTCATGGTAAGTAACATGCTCATTGTATAAAATACAGATAAGTTAAAGAAGAACATTAAAATTATTCATTACTATCACCACTATTTATATTTAGGTACATTTTCTTCCAGTCAGATCCTACCAGGCATTGAGTATTTCCATTAAAACAAAAATCTTCCTAATTAAATAGGCAAAAAATACCTCATTATCTTAATTTTATTGTTTGATTACTAGTAATGAGCATTTTTCATGTATTTATTAATCACTATTTTTATATTGTTTTACTTTTAGCTATGAAAGACCTTAATCATCCAGAAATGTAAAAAAATTACGCTTTCTTGTTTCATTTTTAAAGAACATTTTAAAATTCCTTAATGCATTTAGAATTTATTCTGGTACCTGGGTGCAAAATGATTTTTCCCAATATGGCAAATCAACTGTTTAGAATCATTTATTGAATACATACATAGAATTTAAATATTTAATACACATTTCATTTGCCTTAAGTAAAAATATGAAAATGTTTTACTGAAAGTATTATGTTTAATAAATAATCAACCACTGTAAAAATACTAAAGTCCTTGTGGTAGCTACACTTTAAAGCATATCTATGTGCAGATTAAGACATATCAAATCCTTTTTCTTCAAAATAGACTAAATCTAATCAAGTACATATACTACTTCAAGCCTGAGTCAGTTTTGGGATATGACCCAAAAAGTAGGTCCACATACTTTTTGATTTGCCTACATTAATTTTGCTATTAAGCTTTACTTGAAGCTCCAGATTATAGTCCAAACTGCTCAATATCTACCTTCCTGAGGTCAGTTTTACTACTAACAATACTTACCAACAGCAAGGAGAAGAATGCTGGCTACAAAACAGCCTGCGCCCACACTGAGGTAATAAACCCCCACTCTCATTTCTGCTGGCCAGAGAGGGAAGAGGGTGGCTGCTATCACTGCAATGACTGGCACAAGAAATGACACAGTTACACAGGTAACTTTTAGATTAAAAGTTAAATGGCCTGGCGGCAATATCAGTGAATATATTCCTAGAGGAAAAAACTGAAACATGTACGTATTGGAACATATAAAATTGCCATTTTTATAGGTAAAAAATGGTCAATTATCAGCCTTTTCACATAGTTCAACCTAACATTTTAAATACAATTCTTAAATTAGGTTAGGATTTTTCTAGTATGAATTACATATGATTAGAAAAAAGTGCTGTCTAAAAATGTGAAATTGTTAGCTCCTTAAATGATCAACTGCTGCTGTTTTCAAGCAATGCCTACCTTATTTTTTGAACATAAGGTACCTGTCTACTGAATAGGGGAGCTTAAAGAAACAACAACCAAACAACAAAACTAACCAAAAAATGATTCCAAAGATCCCTCTTTGGAGATTCTGATTCGGGGCGGAGCTCTGACATCTACAGATTGGAAAAAGCTCACCAGGTGATTCTGATACAGGTGGTTTTTTGGTAGTTAGGGAAACTGTATACAAACATCTCTGTTTTTTCCCTAAGACTACATGGAATAATCAGAAGAAATTAGAAGGCTCGTTATTAGGCTTTTAGAGCAAGAGAGATCAGGATTCAAATTCTAGCTCTATGATTTATAAACTAAGTAACCTTGGGCAAGTTATTTAACCCCTTTGAGGCTAAGTTACCTTATATTTAATATGTGCCTGTTCTTATTTTTTAAAGATTGTTGTGAGGATGAAATGAAACAATGCATGTAAAATATTTAGCAAAGTGACTAGTACATAAAGTCATCAATAGCTATTAGCTATCTGAGTTGGATTTAATTGAGTTTCAATTCTTAACAGTTATTTTGAATGAGATCTTATGATATCATATTAATCAAGCTTGTTTATTTAACTGCTATCTATTTTTTTCTACCTGTTAAATCATTCTCTCCTCCTCCCTCACGCCGCCTCCCTGAACTTACAGGAATAACAGATACCCATGGTAAAACAAACAAACAAAAAACAAACCAAAAGGTGAAGACTTCATCTAATTCTTGGTCCACTTCCCAGAGGTTAACCACTATTTTCTTATTTGTACTCCCAGAGACTACCTATATATAATTAAAACTAGCTATATAGACTACTTTTTCCTACATAAATGAGCTTATACTATTCTTACTCTTTTACAATTTTTTTTTCATTTAATCTATTCTAGATATCTTTCCATAAGTACATCCTACCTAATTCTTTAAAAGCTGCATGGTATTCTAGTGTGTAGTCGTACTGTAATTTATTTCACCATTCTCCTATTGAGGGACTCAAATTATTTCCAGTTTTATCCTATTACAGACAATAGTGCACCAAATACCAATGTAATATACATTTGTGCAACCGTGATTACAGCAGAGGACAAATCCCTGAACTCCAATTGTTTGGTTGAAAACTACAGGCATTTAAAATTTGAAAGATATTTGCTAATTATCCTCCTAATTATAATCTGAGGGATTTGGATTAGAATAGATGACATGCCAAAGCACACTCTTGAATAGATACTTTGTGCAACTTTATTAAGAACAGCATTGGGCCGGGCCGGCCCTGTGGCTTGGTGGTTAAGTGCGCGCGCTGCGATGCTGGTGGCCCGGGTTCGGATCCCGGGTGCGCATCGAGGCACCACTTCTC